GCCCTTCCCGCCGAGGGGGTTCCCCCATTCCCGCTCCCGCCCTTCCCGCCGAGGCGGCCCGGGAGGCGCCTTGCCCTGGCAGCGAAGGCGCTCGAGCGGCCCCCGAGGTTTGGGGGAAACGCACAAAAATGCTTCGGGAAGGGGCGGATGGTGGCCTGGGGAAGGGGGTTTCCCTCTGGGAAAGCGCATTCAAACAAACAAACCAACCCCAGAACACTTTGATTGCCATAGTGCTTTGTATCTTAAAATAATTGCCTATAGGCAAGCACAACTGCTTTAATGTAGCGCACACAATAAAAACATCCTTCTTGTGTGTGTGTGTAAAAAAGAAACCCCATTCACAATGCTTGTTTAACTGCCTTTCCTAGATGCATTTGCTAGGTCCTTTTTGTACCCCACAAACACTTCCTCAGCAAACGTGCACTACTCCAGGTCACGCTTGAGCCTGTGGAGATGTGTGCAAGTGTCTGTGCAGGATGCACCGCTGCAACGGTGACAATGCTCAACCAGTCTGAGTCTGTGCAAGGTGTTACTAAAATAATCTTTTATTTCCAACCATGGCCACTTTCTAACAGGGCTCCACCATCAGTTGACCGAATACTTTTCAGCAGACCCTGAATCTAGCCTAGAATTGCATTAATTCAGTCTTTCTAGATCTTACGACACCAATATCCTGTTTCTTTTCAACTAAAGTGTAGGCCAGCTCTTTCCTTTGTATTATTTACTGGAAAGAGCAAGAATCTTACAGACAGGAAAACAAGGATTCACAGCACCGCGGATCTCGGGGTACGTGTGTGGCAACTGCCTGCACTCGCACAGGACGAAGTCACCCTGCTCCACCAGTGGCAGATACTTGCTTAGCTTCTCCTGAAAATACCTACAAAGGAGACTGCACAGTTTGTTTCTGTGTCACTCCTAGAACGCACTTGGATTCCTCAGGCATGGTAACATGCAACCTATGAAGGCTGATGAATCGTCTGCCTCTGGTGTTTAAAATAAATTTTCAAGACAACGGAAGAGCATGTCCTGAACACCCTGAGCAGGTCTGAGCGCACGCACTTGTGCTAAGCCCCTAGCTAAAGCTCTTCAGACCACAAGGTACCTGGCTGCGATTCTGCCCAGCTCCATCATCTAGAAGACATAATATGTTCATTTTAACACCTTTTAACACTTTAATGAAAAGTACATTAAGATAAATCACTTTTACTCTGCTTTTGTTACCAGGCTTCAGTATTCGGTCCAGTTTGAAATAACATGTCAGCTTTTTTCTGCAGGAGAAAATCAGAATACTGACTAACAGCAAGCAAAATAAAAGGGTCCCCATTCATTCTCAAAAACTGACCTATCTATTCACAAATTTACCTATGATAAGAAAAGCAGTGCAGGAGAAAATTAATTGTTCTGCTGGTATCCTGAAGGAGTTACAAAAACTACCCAGTTGGAAACACTCATCTGTTACAAAAATATTTATTAGTTTTTCCTTAAACACATTCTATTATCTTTCAAAACATACACTGCAGTTTTTTCAAATTGGGTTAGTATTACATTAAATTTGCATAGTACCATTAATAAAGTATACAAGAGTTTTCAAGAAATCAAGACATCAAAGACATCATTAAAGCACTAATAATGTTCAATGAACCAGAGATTTATGGCAAATAATTACTATGGCACTTAACAGTTGCAGGTAAGTTTGCTCCTACTAAACTACTACACATGCAAAACTAAGACTTTAAACTAGAAAATCCTGTATCTCCATACCTTTAATTGAAGCCTTAGAGCATTAAATGTCCACATTTAAAACATTTTATGTAAGATTGCAAGGAAAGCTAACTCGGCTGTTATCTTAAAGAATCATGATGTGATTAAATATTTTAATTAGAAGGAGAACTGATGTTAATTAAAGTTAATACCCAGTATCTTCTTGGTGGCACAATCCCAGTCCTTCCCAAGTTCAAGTTGATAGTAAATACCTGGAAAATGTCGTTCAGCTCTTCTCACCCACTCTACTGATTTCTTGATCAACACAAAAGCCCAATGAACAGTGCTGCAGATACAAATAAAGCTTTTCAGAATAAAATCTCCAAAAGAAGCAAAAAACATATTTTCTTCTAAAAAATTACCTACAGCACAATGACCCAGCTTCTATACAAAATAATTTAATACAGGAAACTATATCAGCATCTGTCCTGCCCAGATCTTTTCAGAAACATCCACATGGAAGGTATGTAGACTTGCAATCATTCCTTGTACTTACTCACATTATTCCGATCAGTTCAGTGAAGCAAAACTGATCTGTACAATGTACAGAAGAAACCTGAGTCCTCAGTACATTCACCTATATCAGAATTCTTTCATTTTTCACTTTTTTTCACTCAGCCTGCTTTCATCCAGCAGTCAATGTGACTTTATTTTTATTTCTGATTGGAGTAGCCAAAGTTATAAAAACAAGACAATTTATCCCTCTGTCAAGGAATTTCAAGAGAGGATGAACAAACTGTATGTTTTTATATTCCCTGTAAGTACAAAGGGTGTCCCCAGCTTGGCACAAGAGTCTGTTGGTAGCTGGGGCAAGCTGGAATTTCTGGAGACCTGCTCCTCCTTGGCCCTTTGTCTACATCAGAAAGTTTCCAAGCTGACAGTTGTTCACCACACTACAAATGAAAGGGAATTTCTATATTCCCTGGGACACACTGAAATGAGTGGTCCTTGCCAGAAGCGAGGCAGCATTGGCATCCCCTTGGGCTAGTAGGGAGGGCGGAAGCTGCTGTGAAGAATCTTCTGCCCTAATGATTTCAAGTCATCTGCAATATTTTATGGTGTATGTTTGTGAACAACATCCAGCTACAAATATAATTATAAAAATATTCACATTCGAAAGACTACAAAGGGTAAGAGCTGGCACACAAGTTACATTAAGGAAAAATTGATAGATACATTTTATTTTTCCTAATTTCCAGGGTAAGTGTAGTTGAACACTGGCACAAGTGGCCCTGAAAAGTGGTGGGATCTCCAACCTTAAAAATATTCCAAACTCAACTGGGCAAGATCCTGAGCAACCTTTCTAACATGAAAGTTAGCCCTGCTTTATGCAAGGGATTTGGAAGAGATAACCTCTAAAGGTTGCTTCCAACTTGAATTATTCAGCGACTCTAGTAAGAGGTATAAATATATTGTTACTGCAATACATTGTTTTTTATATTTAGCATTTTTTGAAACACATTTTGTGGATTCCCTCCTCCGTGCATCCTCTTACAAAAGGAGCCACATGCTACCAATATCATTAATATTTTCCATTCCCTTCTCTAAGCAATACACAACTGCAAAATCACTGACTCTCCACAATAAAATCTTCTGTATGTAGAAAGGGTATATGAGTACATTAAATTATAAGACTGTATTTAAGAACACACCTTGAAGTTGATAAATCATCCAGTTTCATCAGTGATTTGAAGACTATGTGTGCAGTGGATGAACTGTAGCACAAGAAGAGTAGCAATCAACTGCAGTAACTTTTCCATTTTGACCTAAGGAATGAGAGAAGGGAAGTAGTAGTATTTCTATTTAGTTTTTTGGCTTAACAAAGCATCTTTTACTTTTCTGCAAAGTACTCTATAGAGCACATTGAACCAGTATTTGTCCTGATTCTTAATGAGATAAAATTATTTACCAAGTGACTGAATGACTTTTCCGATAAGGAAATCATTAATTAAATAATTAACGTCAAATTCTAAGATTTTCCCAACTGTGAACTGAGATTCCATGAGCCATACTAGGGAATAAGCAAAGATATGGGTAAGTAAAAACTTGAGACACTGAAAATATATTTGATAAGAACACAGTAACAGACAGGAAAAATATTTTTAAATAATCAAAATCTTACAAAAATTCACAAGCTGAAATTCACATCTAAAAACCAGCATGACAAATAATCATCTCGATGTACTAAACAACTACTTTATGAACTCACACAAATAACTTGCTGTATTGCAAAAGAAACAAAAATCATTGCAAAAATCATTAATTTCAGCTCTACTGTAAAAGAATGAACATTGTTCAGCAAAAGGAGAGACTGTTTTTGATGTCTATAAGGCTACACAATTTAGGATCTTTTGAAAGAGAAGCCAAAGGAAACAAGATATTTTAAAGGAAACATACCCTTTTCTCAACTGTAACAAAGCTTGTAAATTGGGTTAGGATCGAGTTCTCCAAACTGAGATTAATAATCCTGTTTTTCAAGATTTGCTTCTTAGATTGTTAAATATTGAAAAAAAATATGATCAGCTAAAAGAAACACTGATGTCAAAACTGAACACATACATAGGTATGAGCACACTTACACACTCTGAACAGGGAGACGTTCAAGGAAGAATTTGTATGAACACACTGGCCTGCCTAATATCGTCCTCCTTCTAACTTTCCCTAACCCCTCACTCAGGTTTGGGCAGGAACATGCATTTTCCCTATAGACTTTTTTGCTCTTGCTCTATTCTTCTTCCAGGCTAAGAGAAAGTTGTACTCACAATTCTTACAGGAAAAAATGGTCTAAAACTCTCAAATAAGCTAAGATAGAGGGAAAAAAAAAATGTTTCTAAATTTTCAGCTAGCTAAAAGCCAATTTTTGGAAATCAGTTCCTTAAGGCAATCTGTAAAAGAAAGGTAATTATCTTCCGCATTATATAACAACTACAGACTCTACATTTCAGTCTTCAAGTCTTCAAAACTAAAGTTTTGCCTAAAAACATTTTCCCTTACAGCAAGAGGACAGTCACAAATAAAGGAACCCAGTCTTTATCCAAGGCAAAAATGGACATTGATATATCTGATATATTGAGAAAGATCACATATGGAAGATTCTCTTCCTCTAGCAAGGCGTTTAAACAGTTACTTAATGAGATTTGAGTGGCTAACAGGTGTTATCAGCAGCCAATAGATGGCTGTTCTGCCATTCATAGGGACCTAAACAGAATGGAGAGGTGGGCAAAGAAACCTCATGAGGTTCAAAGGCAAGTGCAGGGTCCTCCCCTAGGGAGGAATAACACCAGGTAGGAGGACTAGGACGGGCTGGGGGAAAGCAGCTCTGCGGAGAAGGACCTGGAGTCCCTGCGGATGTTAGAGTTGAGCACAAGCCAGCAACGTGCACAGTGCTAACCTGGGGTGCATCACGTTGTAGCCACCAGCTCGAGGGAGGTGACTCCTCCTCCTCTGTTCAGCCCTGATGAGGCCACATCTGGAATTCTGTGTCCATATCTGGGCACCCCAATACAAGAGGGACGTGGAGAGAGTCCAGGGTGGGCCTATGAAGATGATTAGGGGCCTGAAGCATCTCTCTTATGAGGAAAGACTAAGAACTGGGACTGTTCAGGCTAGAGAAGGGATATTTTTTTTACCAGAGTACAGTGAGGGATGAATCCGTAGACAAGAAGCCTCTCGTTGTTAAATAAAGACTGCATTCGAGCAGCAGCCTGCATTGGCTCTGGTGCATTTATATCAAACTGTTGCCATTTAATAGAAACAGAACTGCATCCCGGAGAAAATATTCTAGATACTTGGCTCTGTATCTGTGTAAAGACACAAAACAAATTACTCAGCTTTCAAAAAAACCCAATATTTAATTTCACAAATAATATATTTTGCTATGTGTATGGAACACTTCCAGATATTACAGGTAAAAATGAATGTAACATTTGGAAGTGATAAGGATGCTCACTCAGCCATTATTGCACTGACTTCTGGAATAACAGGATTCCTTCTAAGTGAAAGCTGACACTTAAAGGGTATTCATCAAGGCTGCCAAGCAGCCTAGGGAGTATGGCACCATACAGCACCATGGCTGACGCGTGAACTCAGCTCTATGCAGAGTACTGCACATCTCCATGGCCTGCTATGGCTAGTGCTGCACACATCACTGACACTCAGAATAGCAACACAGATAATTTATGCTTTCATCTTTTCCCCCCAACACAAAACAAAGCAGAAAAATGAAAAAACAACAACAAGGTACAGGCCAGAGACCAGCCTGCTGCTGCTGCTCTACTGACACTGCTTCAAGAGTGAACAGACCCAATGCACAGGGTAGAGCTCTAGGAACAACCACATAGAGAGCCTAAAAAAATTACATGTGGGGTCCTGGATTATTTGAAAATCATAAATACATCCAAAGTTAACCATTAGAAGTTAAAGAATATAACTGCTACAGGCTTCATCATTATAACAAGGCCACTGTTGGAGATGGATGGTGAGCCATGACAGAAGTGAAGCACTGTTTTTCCATCCAGGTACAGTACATATACTGACAGTTCAGAGTCCTTTTCTAAGTTATGTTACTGCACTAACCAAGAAAAGTATTGAAGATTTCCCATTAAGAGTAGGAAAACTAAGTCATGGCTTCCTCACTTTAACACATTTAGTGCCCATTCTGGCACTAAGGTGGGAAATGAGCAGCAAATTCCCTCCCTTATCACAGAGCCTGGGGTGTTCTA